TATTTTACTTGTCTTTAGCATAATGTTTTGCCATGCTATAAATCAACACTTGGTCGCTCGTTCGTATATGCAGTTGGCAGCTTCGTCATGCGACTTGGGCCTCCTATCACAAAGCACTAAGGTGATCGTAAGTCACTGAGGTAACCTTAGTGCAATGTTAAGGAATGGGAGTTAAGGTTAACCTTAGTAAAGGTTGCTTCGTGAGAGGAGCCGCAGCTTACTCCGGAAACTTCACATTCAGACCGGTTACCGCGACCATATTGATGTATATTACGAGGTATGTTAAAATACGAAGCTATGATCCGTTCGAGCGTTTATCCCAAGAGATGACCGTTAATCCGGAGAGACGGTTAATCTGCGCAGTCACACTCCACATGTCTCAATGATGCATGGTACCTATATTATAAGTTAAACTCTGAGTTTTGGTGATGGATTGACTGGCATTGCACGTGGATACAAGAGGATTTTAGCAGGATATATGATTTGCTGATCTCAGCAGTTCTCAATAATCTGGTTAATCTCTGCAGTTCTCAATATTCTGGTTGATCTCAGCAGTTCTCAATAATCTGGTTGATCTCTGCAGTTCTCAATATTCTGGTTGATCTCAGCAGTTCTCAATAATCTGGTTGATCTCAGCAGTTCTCAATAATCTGGTTGATCTCAGCAGTTCTCAATAATCTGGTTGATCTCAGCAGTTCTCAATAATCTGGTTGATCTCAGCAGTTCTCAATATTCTGGTTGATCTCAGCAGTTCTCAATAATCTGGTTGATCTCAGCAGTTCTCAATAATCTGGTTAATCTCAGCAGTTCTCAATAATCTGGAAATATTTTCTTCTCAGTTATAGATATATAAATGTGCAATACTTAAGAAAGGATATTATATTAATCATTTCAAGTTTTTCCAATCAGCATGTTTGTAATTAACACATGTTAATGGTCTTAAACTTACAAATCTTGCAAAATTCTGTTACACGATAAGAGATTGTCGGTACAATAAAACTAAACGGGAATCACCAAAACGCGATTTTCAGAAAGTGGGATGGTTTTTACCCCAAGAGACGAGGAAGAGTTCAGATTAACATGTTGAACACTGACATCAAGGGCACGGTACACACCGAACGTTAAAAAGCAAGCCCCGGGAACAGCATAAGTTTGAGAAATAATCCTTTTAGTTTCATCAAAACTCCATCTTTCAACTGTCGCTTGTCCCTGTCCGATATCAATTTGAAGACATTATTCTAACCGAGTTACAAATTGAGGAAAATTATGGTCAGCGAATGTCAAGACACGTTGTCGAATGTGTTTTCTGACTCTTTACTATCAAATTAATAATCAACGTTACGTTATCCCTACGAGGGGCCACGGAAAAGATACCCGGATGTACATAAGGATCACCCCAATGAAGACGGGAGCATAAAGTTTGACATGCGCAAAAACCGAACAGGAATTCAAAACATAGCAGAGACTAATCAATTCTCGGAGACTATTTTCCTAAAGGCAGCTGCAGTTCAAATATCTATTTATCAACACGTTCACTGCCCGCTTCAATATCATTCCAGTTTTTTGTAGTAATCTCTGATCATATGGTCGTCAATTTAAGACTTTCTGCCATCTCGAAAAGTATTAACGCGTGGTTGTCTTGATTTCCAGCGGTAAGGATCGAAGGGAGCGAAAAGAAAAAGAGATTGATCGCCGCGGACAGCGAAACGTGTAAAAAATCAAATCAGCGACATCGGGAAATTTGGAAAAGATTAAAATCTTTGAGCGACTCTGACTCGAGAAGTCTTCTCAAACGTTTAGCCGCCATTAGTGGTCATTGATTATGGAGTCAATTAAGACGGAGGGAAATGTCTTCGCCAGCTGTTGGTAGAATTATGTCGATCAAAGCTTGGAGATCCAATATCTTTCTGTGTCTCATTGAACGTGCCAAACGATCGACTGCCGGGTATTGACCACTCTGCCTCCTCGTCCGTTTCACGACCGCTCCGCCGCTCAGGACAGTTTGATTGTCGCGCGGAAAGTAGCACGGATAATGCCCCCATGTGTGCAATGCGTTCTTTAAATTGATTGGTTATAAAGTTACGTAATTTCTATAATAAAGACTTGTGTCTTTTTTCATCTTCTTCAGATGAACTACCAATTTCTCGAAATGATGTAAAAGCTCACAAAAACACATCTGCTCGAGTTGGAGTTTAAAAGAATAAATTACAACAATCTATTTCCTTTCACGAGCCTCTGTTTCAAAGAGTTGGAAATGCGCTTAGCTGGAGGAACCAAATGTCGTCGTTTTGTAATATCATCAAATATTTAATTTGTTATAGCAGAAATTGGGATTAAATTCAATAAAATGTTCAAATTGATTTATGAAAAAGATATCGTTTCGCAAAAATTATTACGATCGCTATTGATGAGGGTTGTTACAAAAATGAAGACTATCTGCAGGAATACGGATTCGTTTACAAGGACGTGACGGCGTATAGGTCAAGGAACAGTGCAGTCGACGTAAGCGCAGTAAATGGTTGTTTTCGCGGGTTTAAATCTTATTCGATAGAAGATTCATAGGAAATGGGTACTGGGTGGTTACAATGGATGAACACGGAGTGGTTGCATTTGTGACCACCAGGACGCCACGTTACTTTTGGCATTCGATGAGTGAGTAAGCTTTCACGCCGCCTATAACAATATTCCAGCAATAATACGACGGGGGTCACCAGAAATGGGTTTTATACACTGTACCCGCGTGGGGAATCGAACCGGGTCTTCGGCGTGACGAGCGAACGCGTGACGAACGCGTTGCATGGCAACTTTTGTATAATTGCTTGCTACTGTCGGATAAATTTTACGTATGACATGGTTTTGTATGAAACTCGGTGTTGTTTTTTTTAAATGAGCAATTATCATCATAAAATCAACATGGATTCCAATCATTTTGTCGTCTTTATGAGTCAAAGGATCATATATATGGGTCTGAAAAACTCATGTTTTTCCATCTAGAAGTTTTATGTACGTGTTGAAGACCTATCATTGCAAAAATACAGGGGGTGCTTAATTAAGTTGTTTGTGTATGCTATGAATGGTAAATCATAATGTCCAGTGTATTTCAGATTTCACGTGTTATTGACCAAGTTTCTCGCCTGTTCGTTCACCCGAAGTCCCTGCACGGAAGTTTTAAACTGTGCATAACAATGATATTCACCGATCGCTTCACGTTGTACTTCTTGCAAGCAAAAAACAAAAACAGGTCAGTTTGGCTGTACATCTTTGTAGATATCCTTTGTTATGATTGACAGCTTCTCAGTCTTCGATTCTCCGATAGGCATGTCTTCGCCTCGCACAGCGAGATTAGCGCTAAACACAAGTAAAACCTGTCGGAATTGTAGTCCATCACTGGCAAATTTGTATTCCGCGAAGAAACAACCGATCCATATTTCGATGCTTTCAAAGTTGGAGTTTTGTTTCCCTTTAAGTAACCGTAAAGCTTAAATCTACTCTACTCTCGCGCATATTGCATGTGTTTATGTGACATAGGCGACCCTCGGACAAACCCATTAAACCAAATATCGAAAATAAATAAATTTCAAAGATTTTTGTGTTAATAAATTCAATAATGATGATCTTATAATTCAATAAACCTCATGCCGGGAAAACGCATTATCCAGCAAAATCTCAGAACGTCAACGCAGTGGTATCCTGTGCCAAAAAAGATGTTTTCCTCTGAACTAGTCGTAACGATTAGACAACACAGGCGGCGTCTGATGTAAGAGCGACTATAAAGGCTAAATTGAAAGAACAGGTAATATCCGATCCATGGGTGATCCCTGTGGTCTGACAGAGGAGCGGAGTGTTTGATGGGAGTCTGAGAGAGCGAGACAAACACGTCCCAAGTGGGATGGGAATTAGTGGCCACGAACCAGGCGGCGAAGAGTCTCGCCGCTACTTGACAGTGCGGGTTTGATATCAATATGGCATATTTCAGAGAGTAAGCGAAATGAAGATGGCAAAAGCGTTTATCAGAAATTAAAGACAGTTTTGGATTTACTCCACTGCATTTTAATCGGGAGTTTCCGTAACCATTTTTCCGGAAATAATTCATTTGTCACTCGAAAAAGTTGTAATTTGTATTTATTGAACGAATCCCTATGCACACGCGACCGATGCTCGGATACAAATGAGTAGTTTCTGTATGCTTCGTAGTACATATACTTCGGTCTCGTCCGGAAACGTCCCGAGAAATCAGAAATATGGTCATCTGTATTATGTGCAACATTACAGAGTCCCTATCTGAAATTTAATCGATACTAATCATAGACTGATTCGCTGCAGATCGATTAATTGTGACTCAAGCGCATTCTCCCCAGTGCTCGCTGAGAGTGACTATGCGTACTGTAGCTTTGTAGAAGTTTGTAAAGCGAAGGCAACAGACGAAGGTCGTAGGCCGTAGACGCTTGAAACGAATGCAGTAAACTTACGCTTTTATAAAATTTAGCAATGGTGTAACCGCATAATTCTGCAAGCACCTGATCCAATGTTTTTTTTTAATAAACGTTTTATAAATTGTTAGCTATATCAATTTGAAAAGATTCACCTGTTCATGCTGCCTCGTTTTCAGAATGGGTCGAACTGCACATTGCTTCATTTTCAGGAGGGGTCGAACTGCACATTGCCTCATTTTAAGGAAGGGGCGACCTGTACATTGCCTCATTTTAAGGAAGGGGCGAACTTCATGTTGCCTTGGTTTCAGGAAGGGGCGAACTTCATGTTGCCTTGGTTTCAAGAAGTGGCGAACATCATGTTGCCTTGGTTTCAGGAAGGGGCAAACTTCATGTTGCAATTGCTTTGGTTTCAGTACCAGGCGAACTTCATTTTGTCTTTAATTTGGAAAGACGGAGAACTGCATAATATTATTATTTTGTTTTGGAAAGGCGCGAACGGCCTTCAGTCTTGAGGTTGGAAAAGTTCGAGTGGCGAGGACATCAACTAAAAGTCCTGTTATCTTGCAGGTTCGACGCCAAGCGTGTGATTATACGGGAAGGTCACGTGCCGATGATGTTTTACTTCATCCTGTCTGGTTCAGGTGAGTGACCGTCTTTATATTTGTATGTGTGTGTGCGTGCGTGAGTACAGGTGTGTGGTGTATTATACACAGTTCCGTGTCTGAGGCCCCACTTAACATGCGAAGTGTCTGAAAAGAATTCACAAATGCAATCCACACCTTTCGCTGTACAGAGTTGCGCCCCTTGGACGTTCCCAGAAACCTGTGATTGTGTTCGCCCCGACTTTATTAATACTAGGTTTGTCAGTGCCGGATACGCAACAGAGACCAAGACCCGCTGTGGTGGAGGACTGGGCTCCGAATGTGTATGTTATCAGTTATCATTACCTGACGAGACCACAACTAGCTCGAATCTAGAATCCACGAATGAACAAAGTCATTGAAATAGGAGTCACGTGGTTAACGCCGTATTCTCCAATACTCCCGCTACATTGCGTCGTCCTGCACGTATCCAACTTCATGGTTGTCATAAGCAGCAATAAACTAAACAGTCGTTGGCCATGGGTCCCACTTTGTGACCATCCAATCCACATTCCACACTAGCTGATGTACATACTGAGTCGCTCTCACAACCAACTGATTTTTGCATGGACAATGTTAAAGTCAGTGAGTGAGTATGGTTTTACGCCGCTTTAGCAGTATTTCGCCGTGATATTGCTGGAATAATGCTAAAGGCGGAGCAAAACCATACTCACTCACAAACTGCTGAATCCTGTCATGTTAATCTGGTTGCTGTCTCTCAGTGGTCGTTACGGTCATGGACTTGGAGTCGAATCAGGAACGGACTGTCCTGTTCCTTGGTCGGGGGGACAGTTTCGGGGACGACGCCATCATCAACAAATGTCACCGGTGCGCCACCGTCATCTCCAAGGAGGTCATCGAGCTGCTGGTGCTCACTGATGAGGTACATGATCTTAATAGACGTCGTAGGGATGTTGCCCACTTTGTATGGTGGCCCTTACCAGCCACCATAACTTTGGCTTTAGACAGATATGTTACAGATCGTTCGTTACTTTAGATATATGCGCACTTCGAAGTCTTCAGCCAGAGCGACAATAATGATAACTGAAATCAATAACAATTTGAAAAAGTACGTATGTATTGCATTTCTTCTTCTTCTCCTTATTAGGGGCGGTGGGGTAGCCTAGTGGTTAAGGCGTTCACTCGTCACGGCGAAGACCCGGGGTTCGATTCCCCACACAATGTGTGAAGCACATTTCTGGTGTCACTTTTCGTGATCTTGCTGGAATATTGCTGAATATTGCGGCGTAAAACTAAACTCACTCACTTACTCTTCTCCTTATTAATGTTATGCCTGGAATCTATTTTTCATCACACTGATGTTTTATGCTGTATATTTTTTATATTTCATTCCATTTATTCTATTGTATTATTTGAAAAAGATAGCAATTGTTCTTCTGTAGGCTTTCTAAATTCAGATGTTTTTATATAATATATCATGTAAGGGAATTAATTTTATGATAGATACAATTTGATTATAACCACGTTCCACGTGCAATGACTTCAAACAGACAATTTGCATACGGTTGCGATAATTAGATCAAATCAGTTCGCAGGATACCCGAATGCTGACAGATTTCCTGCAAATATTGTGACGCAACAAGGATGGCGGTTCTTGCAAATGGCGATGGCACATAATTGCTATTGTGTTCTGACGTCACAAATATGCTTTATGACATCATAATCATTTTCGTACAAAGTCTGCACTGGCCTGAACGCATCTTTTGTTCGCAGGACTTTGTAAATATCTTCATGTCGGGCGGTCTGTCCAATCTTACCGAGGTATTCCTGAAGTGAGTATCATTTTGATGCTTGAAGACATTCCACTATCCTCTTTTACAATTTCATATACTAATGTTACTGTTTTATCAATCTCTCAGTCGGATATTCGAGAAATCCACGGCTTTGTTTTGTGTATTACCAGGTTAAATACCAATCTTCGCCTTTATTTCGTTAGCTAGGTTTAGATACTCCAAAATTGATATGGTCCTGGTGCTGAAGTTAATTTTACCTTCCTTTAAAAAATATAAAGGAGAAAAAACAAAGAATTAAAAATATATAGATAACATAAAACACACACACACAAACTTTACCTCCCATGCTGATTTTATCATACGTTTGATTTGCAATTGAAGATATCTTCAGCTGGAGATTGTATATAGAAAAGAGATATATTCTGTACTGGCGCTTAGTCGGCATGAGGTTTAAAATTTATTTAATGTTTAATTTTAAGAGTGAAAACAAAATTAAAAAAGATAAGCATAATTTACAGCTACAGGTTGATACCTTAGACATTCGTTCTTGGGGATCAGGGGGTGCTTCTGATGCCTGGGATAATTCAAAACAGGAATTACGCTATCACTTTGGTCAGTGTAGTGCTAACGAATATTTAAAAACAAAATACCTTTTGGGAATATACAACTCGACTTAGATGGACTCACGTGCCGCCCTCAAGAGTACAATATTTGGACACTTCTTATCCCCACCTGAAGTTTTTGAAAGGCGTTTAGAAGTTGGACGAACATGAATACATTCACCCGATGAAGGAGCAAGAATTAGCTCTGAAACGTCGTGTAAAGAATAAATATGATGTTGTTATCCTTAAAACGTGTCATGTATTTTACCCCACCGTCAATACTCGTAGTTGGTGTTAACATCATACTAATTTAAAGAACAATTAAAATATTAAGATTTCACCAAATAATCCATTTTCTTTACAAAACCAGAGACTTAGCCCAAAACACAATCAAAACAGTTCTTTTAATTTTCTATTGCATTAGTACAACTCGCCATGCCTTTCTTGCCCGCAAGTTAGCCTGTCTAAACAGAAAATACACAATTAAGAGTATACGATCGTTTCAGAATAATGCAATGTCGTATTTTTCATGTTAATGAAAGAATTCCATCTGTCAAGAAAGAATATTCTAAAGTATATGAAGTTTCTTAAAACAATCTTTTAAAAAATGCAAATCTTAAACTGTCTTTACTGCTGATATTATTTGAAAAAACATAGTTTGCTTAGTCATTCAACATTCAACCCCCAACAAAGGCTTAGTTCTGAAAGCATTAAAGGGACATTTTCGCATTCTAGGATTCCATACCTGTGTTTCGTATAGTTCTCATGCCCTGTCATTTCAATATCCTTCTGTTATTAAGGGGTATATCTTGCCTAGACGGATGGCCGAAAGAACGTCTCCATGACAGTCCCAAGAAAGCAATCCTCAACTATTTCAAGTGAGTAATGCTGTTATGTAAATGTTGAAGAACATTTTTGTATCGCTGCAGTTAGTTAACATTCCATCGCCAGTCCACCTTTAGATAATTGGTTTGGTATGTTGTTGTGGTTGTTTGTTTTTTTTGTTTTTGTTTTTTTGTTATATGACGGTGGTCTGTGAGTGAGTGAGTTTAGTTTTACGCCGCACTCAACAATATTCCAGCTATATGGCGGCGGTCTGTAAATAATCGAGTCTTGACCAGACAATCCAGTGATCAACAGCATGAGCATCGATGTGCGCAAATGGGAACCGATGACATGTGTCAACCAAGTCAACGAGCCTGACCACCCGATCCCGTTAGTCGCCTCTTACGACAAACATAGTCGCCTCTTACGACAAGCATGGGTTACCGAAGACCAATTCTAACCCGGGACCTTCACGGGTGACGGTGGTCTGTAAATAATTGAGTCAGGACCAGACAAACCAGGGGTTGACATCACGAGCATCGATCTTCACAACTGGGATATGACGATATGCATCAACCAAGACCTGACCACCCGATCCCGATTCTTGCCCCTAACGACGAGCATGGGTTGGTGAAGACCAATTCTAACCCGGATCTTTAACGGGTGTTTCATGCTGTTATAACAGTCATGCTGTAATAACAGAGTTAACGCTTCGCTCGTTACCCCACATGTCCGGGTTCGATTCCCTACATGTGTACGATATGTGAATCCCATTTCTGGTGTTCATCGCGTTGATACTACTGCCACATTGCTAACAGCGGCGTAAAACCATACTCATTCGCAGCTGGCCATATTTGTAAATGTCTTGACTTGGTGTGCGAAATAGTTTCCAAAGTTTGCTAGTCAGACGAGCTAGCTATGTCTGAAAGTTACTAGCCCACAAAATAGTTCACTAGCCCGAAATTTAAATGTAGAAACTAAGCAAAAGATTCCAAAAAATAGATGGGAATAAGATATAGTCGGCATGACATGCGTTGCATCATTAAGCTCCCAATATGATGAACATCAGGCCACAATCTTGCATGGTTTAAAAGTGTATTGTAACTTAATACGTCGGAGAGAGTGGTATAATTCCAATATGACCACATGAAAATTTACTAGCCAGTCGGACCAGTGACTGTGGAGATTTACTGACCCGTCTGGATTTTTTACTAGCCACGGGCTAACGGCCAGTGGCTATTTCGCACACTGGTCTTGACTCGCTAGTGTACTGAAAACTAGGGATGGGTATTGCAGAGAATTTTCATATTGCGATATATTGCGATGCGAAAGCATGTATTGCTATATGTATTGCAATATATTGCATGAAGTATTTTTAAACAAAAAACTACTTATAATCGAGTTAATTCTTGATTTATAGAGCAAAAACACAACAAAATCACTAGGCTTGATTAAGCTTTAATAACAACTTTTAATCATGATAAAATCAAAATATGAATAATATTTGGCACAAATGAAACAAGGACATATCCGAACATTTCCGAGTGTTACGAAGTTTTCCGAATGCAAGTCCAAATACCGGTTTTCGATCAGCGTATCGCAATACGTATCGCTTTCATGTCTGAACCGGTAAATACCGGTAAACCGGTTATATTGCGCAGCCCTACTGAAAACATTATTTATTTTCATTAATCTTATTACCTGAATGTTTATGTGGATTTTAATTGTACTTTTACTGTGTCAGCTGTAAAACGGCAAGTTTGCTTTGTATAAGTTAAACATACTTGCAAGCACAAACTTCATGCACCGCACGAGCAATGCATTGTTATACTCTTGGATGATGCAGGGCAAAGAACTTCTTACTCCAGTTTCATCAGAAGCGGAAGCGCTTCCCGACGAGCACCCTCCATGACACACGAGTCATTTAGAGGGTCAAGTTTTGGAGAGTTTGGGTATCAGTCACGGTTCGATTCCACACATGAGTACAGCGGGTGAAGACACTTCTAAAATAGATTTAAAACACCCACACACTCATTTGTGCTTTCGAAAACGAATACGTTGTTGTTTGTTTCAGGAGAGGAACTGTAATCGTGAAGGACAGTAAAGACAGTGAATGGATCATCATTGTGAAGTCGGTAAGTACAGCTACTCTGGAAGGTGTCGCCGCTGTTGAAGGTTTCAGTGTGGTCTACACCTTGTCAGATACAATGCAGTTTCTAATGCTCACTCACTCACTCACCCAAAGATCAGGGTTAGAATCGATCTTCAGCAACCCATACCTGTCGTTAGAGGCGAGTAATGGGATCGGATGGTCAGGCTCGCTGACTTGGTTGATGCATGTCATCGTACCAAAATTGCATAGATCCATGCTCATAATATCGATCAGTGGATTGTCTGGTCGAACATATTCCTAAATGCGGGGTTATGAAAAAACAAACCCCACGTACTTCCCATAATTTCACTCAGCCTCTTGCATGCACTTCCTTATCTCATTCACTCTTCCATTTTCTCATTCCTTCACTCGTCCCTTCACTCCATCCCCGCGTGGTGTTGTAGGGAAGCTGCAACCTGCTAAAAAAGCTGCGGAAGGTGAACCCACGGAAAAGGATCACAGCCACCATCGAGGACTGGCGGGAGAAGAGTAGGTGATTATTCCCCTTGAATTTAGATAATCATATCACAGAGCAACCAGAGTCACGTACAGTCACTGGGCGCCTTTGTGTCCAGCACCGAGAGTACCCACTTTGTCAAAAAGGAGTGGACAGCCTCGATGACCAACCTCCGGACTTTGATAATGCTTCCAGTCACCAGATTGTCTGACATTTTAGCAAGTACATGCCAGGTATAAGGTTTGCTGAAATATTGCCGACACTGGCGATAGGCAGCACCGTGTGACTCATCTGACGGCGATGGGAATGTGGACATTGAGTGGAAAGATGGCTAGAATTCATGTCGAATAATATGAGTCGAATCCCATATATGCCAGACTGTCACAACACATATCACCAGTGTATGAAATGAGCCAAAATCCAGCCAGACATCAGGGCTGGTAACTTCAAAATGTTACCAACCCAAAATGGATTTAACCAGACTAAATATGGTGAATTTACTCAAGATGTATGGAACATCTAATTTTTTTACCAGACCATCGGGCTGGCTAGCTGTATATTTAGACCGTCCGTCAGAAATCTAGACCGTCTCGGGCTGTCGGACGGGCCTATTTCATACACTGATATCACTGCACATTCCCCGGATAGACTCCCCTACACATGCACATACATGAATGCACACTATCTGTATTATTGCTGTCGGACATGAAAAAGGTTTAAAACGTAAGCATACCATGAATGAAGCATCCATGTTAAACTCCGACATGATATCTCTGTGGGCAAGACTATAAACGCGGTATTATCCTGGACTAGTTCAAGAGCGCGCACGCACGCACACACGTACATGCACATCCCTATGTAGGTTCAATAATGACCTGTTGTCACATATCCCCAGTGTCGTGCGTGCACATACCCTTCCCAGTACATCTAAACCACTCTGCACTTTAGGGGTGACAGACCTGCGCAGTGAGGCCTATCTCAGCCACGAGGAGAGGCTACAGATCTCCTACCAGCAGCAAATCCAACACCTGCAGCAGATCAATCAGCGCATGCGCTTCAACGCACTTCCGGAGATAAACGTTGCCTCCAGCGAAGAGTACAAGGAGATGAAGAAACTATACGCGAATGTAAGACTGACAGTCGTTTAATGACGAACCAGTATACACACATACTATTAGTTGTATCTCACGTGACCTGAGCTGACGTCATGGCCTGCTTGTCCAGTATTGGACCGATGAAGCTGAAACCTCACTAGCCAGTTCCTTAGGAATGATGAGACGTTTGTTCATTGGGTTGAAAACCAATTTTCAAATATTTATGGTCATTACTCAGTCATGTATACTCAAAATGGTACGAGCGAACACTTAAACCACTGGGCTATTCCACCGCCCCCAGCGCTGACAGGAACGTCGGTTAGGTATATGGCGGCGGGGTAGCCTAGTGGTTAAAGCGTTAGGTCGTCACGCCTAACACCCAGGTTCGATTCCCCGTTTGGGTACCATATGTGAAGCCCCTTTCAGGTGTTCCCCACCGTGATATTTAATGGGATATTGCCAAAAGTGGCGTAAAACCATACTCACTCACTCACAAACTGCTGAATCATGTTAATAATATGTTAATCTGTTTGCTGTCCCCTTAGTGGCCGTGGCGGTCATGGTCTTCAGAAACTCATGCTTGTCGTAAGAGGTAGGATAACGGGATCGGGTGGTCTGGCTTGCTGACTTGGTTGACATATGGCATCGTATCCAAAATGCGTAGATCGACGCTCATGATGTTGATCCCCGGATTATCTGTTCCAAACTCGATAAGGTACAGATCTTTGCCGTGGAGTTGGACTATTGCTGAGTGCGGCGTTAAACAACCAACAAACAAAATAGATATAAGATCTCGATTCAATGCTTGTTCGCTGGGATCGCATGCCCGGGCCTTCGATTAAACTTCATGTATTTGCTCAACTAACTTTGTGAATGCATGAACGCTTTCTGCTAACACTGATTACGCACATACTGTAAAGGGAAAAGCTTTACGGGGTTTGAATTTATAACCACGAACATTGAACATAATGTCTTCCAGGATCGTCTTGACGGCTTCGCTGACGAAGAGCTGACGTTCCTGACCACGGCTGACCAGGGTGTCGCGCAGCCGGACACGAGGAGCACCGCGTGGAATTCAGCTGGAGCAGAGAATATAGCGCTTCCAGGGGCTCTCAAGAAGAAGGTATAAACATTCCTGTTTGCAACACAGCATACGTTTTTAACTTGCTGACTGTGAATATCCCTCGTTTATTGAAAGTGAAGGTCAGTTTTATATACGTTTGTTAATTTCAATAAATGCCCACGGAAGCAGAAGCTGTTAAACTCTTAAGCATGAAGTTGTTAAAATTATTTGAGTACACGTCCATGAAAGTGATGACAGTTCCCACTGACCTACTTTCAATGTCATATTTTCGTTATTAGAATGCTTACCTGTTTGTGAGATCAGTTGCCACCTGATTTGGTGATTCGAAATACTATACGTACTTGCCACCTGATTTGGCGATATGGAATACTATACGTACTTGCCACCTGATTTGGTGATTCGGAATAGTATACGTACTTGCCACCTGATCTGGTGATTCGGAATACTATACGTACTTGCCTGATTTGGTGATTCGGAATACTATACGTACTTGCCACCTGATCTGGTGATTCGGAATACTATACGTACTTGCCACCTGATGATCTGGTGATTCGGAATACTATACGTACTTGCCACCTGATTTGGTGATTCGGAATACTATACGTACTTGCCACCTGATTTGGTGATTCGGAATAGAATACTACGTACTTGCCACCTGATTTGGTGATTCGGAATACTATACGTACTTGCCACCTGATCTGGTGATTCGGAATACTATACGTACTTGCCACCTGATTTGGTGATTCGGAATAGTATACGTACTTGCCACCTGATTTGGCGATACGGAATACTATACGTACTTGCCACCTAATTCGTTGATTCGGAATAGTATACGTACTTGCCGCATGCTTTCGGTGAGTTTGAGGAATTCAGGAAACAGGAGGGATAGGGTTTCATTTTGTGCCAATGCAAACGGTTTTTTTATGTTCTTTTTTTTCTGAAGTGAGGTAAATCTATTGTTATTTGAAATATTCAGTCTTAGCAATCGTTGACAAAAGAAAACTGTATGCATATCATTTATATCATGGAAGAGAATCAATCACAACCCTTTAACTTAAATTCACGCCTTCATCGACACTTTGCAGTGGTGGGGGGCAGCCTAGTGGTTAAACCGTTCGGTCGTCACGCCGAAGACTCGGTTCGATTCCCCACACGGGTACAATGTGTGAAGCCCATTTCTGGTTTCCTCCGCCGTGAGATTGCTGGAATATTGCTAAAAGCAGCGTAAAATCCAATTCACTCACTCACTTTGCAAGGTGGGTTTTTACCCTGAGTTTACCCAGCAGCTACAATCTTGTTTGAATAACCTGTGTAAGGGATTGACATGAAGAATGGTTATCTGGTGACAGTGTAAGTAAGCATGGCCATGCGTGGTGATTTCCTTGTCTATATCTCAAGGACAATAAAAATATCTGTAAGGTAGTGTAGATAAATGTTGATCACATGATCATTAACGTAGAAGGCTTTAAACAGAGGTTATTAAAGATACACTGGAGGAAACTATACTCACCGAAATATATTCCGCTTTGGATATTTAATATTTTACATATTGCATCATTCATAGCAGTAAGTATCCATGTGATGCCTTATTTGGAGTTGGACACAGCTTTGTTTGAGCTACGGCGTACAAACATTATTTTCTGGAGTTCGAGACAAATATCGATCTATTTGGGGGACACAATACAATTTTTGGAACATCAAGCATGTTCAGTGTAAGGATTTGATTTTTAGTAAAACCTGAGGGCATTGGTTCTCAAGCATTTTCAGGAACAGACAGATTTTGTGATATTGAACACAAAAACTGATGATAACAATACAAGCGCAGTGAAGTCATTCAACACAGCACAAGCCCCGCCCCTCCTGTACCGGAAACACGTGTCTGTAAGTGGGCGTGGCCTATTTTTCAGTTTATTCAAACACAAACACAAACGTTTGAGGCTCTAGCCAACCAAATGTCATTCAATTCATTGCGATGTATTTATAAAGCTAAAGCTCAGACTATTTCAGCCATTAATGCTTCAAATGAATCGGATCATTACAGTATCATGGACTATGTCTACAGCTTTTAACAACGAATGTTAATACGTGTGGCGTAGGTGGGGGTGGGGATGTCCTGTAATCGGGCCTGCCAGATATCTGTAACCTATATGTATACAACTAGGCTAAAACTAAAGCCTGGCGGAAATGAGCACACTGAACTATAATTTGTCTTCATCACCAAAAAAGATCACGAGTGTCATTCTGATACCAATAATGTCCCCCGCTTCACTTTCTTCACGAAATTTAATCACAAATGAGACACTCTAAGCTGGCGTTGTTTGTCCACCAATCACAGCCTGGCCTTCATTACAACTTGATGCGGGCAATTGTTTTGATATTTACCCAAGCCGTCACCAAATTCCTCTCAAATGTCACTGGTTTCGACAAAGACATTAATATACATCATACCCTAGTTCCAAACTACCATTAATTGCGCCAGTACTTCCCTCGGCCGGCTGACCTGTATTTTCACATGAGAATTTCTACGACAATTGGCCTATCGCCTTTCAACCGCACGTGCAGCAGGATACCACAAACACAGACTGCCAACTTGCTATGGCTTTAATGTCGCGAGCTGCATAAAAGTAGACAGCCTATACTTGCAGTCATAAAAAATAACAAATTGCATGTTAAGACCGTTCCCGCTTGTCTGTTATCCTGGCCACCTAGGGCGGTGTGCTATGACCGAGTTCGTTGGGAATAAATGAAGTTTTATGATCAATATTTGCAGCTATTAACTAATATTGGGCTATTATTGAAAAAAAATAGCTACTGATCGATATTATTCTTTTGATCGACTATACGTCTTTAGTTCCATATTACGTCAATACAATATCTAAAGATCAATATTTAAATGAAAAGATCATTAATATTGTTATTGATCAGTAATTATAGAGCCTCCGGTTAATGTAATATTATTGATCGATATGATAATACAACTGTCGGTGAATAATACGGTTATATATAGGTCAAGGCATAGATGAAATCATAGCTACACCTATAGAACAATATTACACTCTTCCAGCAAAATATGAAATCATAGCTACATCTGTAGATCAATATTACACTCTTAAGAAAACATGAAAGCATAGCTACACGTATAAATCAATATTACACACTTCCAGCAAAATATGAAATCATAGCTACATCTATAAATCAATATTACACACTTTAAGGAAAGATGAAATCATAGCTACACCAACAGATCAATATTAGATTTAGATACAACGATTCCGTTTAAAAGTTATACAATTCCTAAACATGCCTTGCGGTTGTTTACATCTAAACACATTTTTCTGTGTATGATATACGTTATTATTACAATAATGTTTCCGTCTATATTTTTCAGACGTCCGTGGCTTCCAAATCAAAACCTAACTCCAGAGGTTGGTGCAATTTCAAAACAAACGTGTGAAATTAATTAAGTTCCAAATGCTTAACGCAGTGATATTGAACAGCTTGTCGGATTATCGGTCGATCCGTCGCCACGTTCAGTGCAAGCTCGGCACAGTGCTTGCAGTTATCATTATCGGCAACTACGGTGGGTCGATGATGTAAGGAGTTTAATCTGATTGCCCCAGTCTTGGAATTATGAAACAAACGATCGCCTGGGATCTCTGTACTGTAAACACGCAACGTGCGTGTATTGGGGACACAACATTAACGCTTGTTGAAGGGGGACAGGCTAGTTGGGGGGAGAGGTACATGGAGGCCATGGAGACAGACACGGGGCGGTGGTGTAGCTTCGTGGTCAAAACATTGGCTCGTGCTACCGAAGACCCGGGTTCGATTCCCCACATGGGTACAAGCCTATTTCTCGTGTCCCCCGCCGTGATATTGCTGAAATATTGCTAAAAGCGGCGTAAAACCAGATTCACTCTTAACTGACATGACTCTCACTTCAGTTGATATAAGTTGAGCTTATGAAAAAACACAGGATAATATAATGATATAAATTTGAATTTAAAATGCGTCAGATTCCATTCACCAAGTGAAATACATTATTTTTAGATTGGCAGAGCATTGTCAATTGATCAGTGTGCACTCGTTGTTCATCTCCCTGGGGAGTATACTGCCCACGCTACATGTGTGGCTACAGTCGTCCAATACTGAAATATTGCTGAACACGCATTCGAACAATAAACAAACTGCTTCAGACATTTTGACTCCAAGACATTCACGATTCTTTAGCACTCTTCAGTTGTTCATACGTCGTCCATACGCACCTGTTCATTTCTCTCTATAGCAGGTAAAAGGGACCGAGGTGACCAGAGAGCGCGGACAGCCCAGCCCCGCGTTCAGCGACAGTCTTCAGTCACTTTCCCCGATGCACATGACTTAAAGGTGATTAGAACTGCTTGCTTCACGAACGTATCGTGGTCACATAGAAACACTACGGTTGTAGCTTTACATAAAACCATATAAGAGACATGGTTATTGAAGGCCAGAGGTATAGCGTCCAGTTTTAGTATTCAAATATGACACATATCGCCATTGTAATCTTCGCCAGCATCATCGTCAACATCATCATTATCATCCATCATCATAGCCGTCATCATCATCGTCACAACCACCGCCATATCATCATCGTAGCCGTCGTCATCGTCATCATCCATCACCATCACCATCATCATCATCATCATCATCACCGTTCAGGGGCGCATGGCACCATCTCCGTGGTCCAGTGGATGACTGCGTCATTCCAAAAATCACCTGTCATTACCGTAATGTTATAAACCGGACCAGTACAAGCAGTCACACAGACACACGCACGCACACACACGCACACGCATGTTGCCAGAGTGAACTGCTATTGAAAACTCAATTCATCTTATCTCTATCGTTAAACGTGCAGCTGACTCGTGTATGGCCAGCGCAGTACGTTCCGTTCCTGTACCCACGTATGTCCTGTCTGTTCCAGGGACGGGCCAGCTCAGCAGGGGACGCGTACGTGTTCATCAACGTCCAGACGCTCACCAAGGGGTCTGTGTTTGTGAGTAGACGTAGAGCTGCTGTCGCCAACACTCCCGGCAAGGCACTTCATGCTTTGTATTGTAGATTAGTAAATGGCGAAATGAGACTCAATACAAATCTGTGTTAGTAGAGGAATACAAGTGTGTTTTTTCCATACATGTTTTTCATATGTTGTGACTCTTGGGTAATAATTTAATGACGTCACTACTACGGTGCTCGGGATCTAACTACACTGGGCGTTGTTAGGGGCCTAACCACTTGCTACTTCAGAAGCAGCTGGGTACTTACTGTTGTAGACCTATAATTTTTCGAAATCAGATTACATTCTATTGACAACACGGTTAACTTTCTTGTAAATCTTCTGTAGGCGTGGCAATAGTGCCAGCGCTTAATGATTATCATGTTTCTTATAATGTTTTTCTTAATATACTACTCACAAAACTAAGGATCACAAAAAATTCACAACTTTACTTAAACGTAGATTTATAATTGAAATTGTATCCATTTAAAACTGGATAAATAATAATATGGTAATCCCTCTTTAGGCAAACAGTCACTTTAAGCTAACTTTATGCACTTGATACACGAGTAACCATAAAAATGGTTTTCATGGCACCAATCAACCATTTTACAAATCATGGAACGAGTCACTGACAAATAAACAACACACGTGAATTGCAGGTATGGAATCAGCAAGATGCAAAGACATACTGAAACCTAGGATCCATGCTTACAATAAGCTTAGGTATATAAACCAAATTTGACCCCATATAATAGTTTCTGTTGAATCCATGAATCGATCCTTAGCAAAGTATGAATAGTATACTTGTGTGTGCGTGGACACGTTAAAGGCACGGACACATACGCACACACAGACACACACTCACAGACACACAGAGTCTGTCGCCTGATGTTGAACCTGAATAAGTCTAAGGAACAAAGGTTTAATTACCTTAATGGTAAAAGTGTAACAGCTCGTCTCACCAAAGACTCCCGTGTTTACTGCCTGTCGATGCTGAACGCCGTAAAACCGCACTCACTCACAGGTACAATAACCTCCCGTTTCAGGGTATTTCAGACCTCTTCTACAAGGACCAGCCTAACTTCGCCCTGACCAGCAATGGCGTGGAGTGCCTGTTGATCAACAAGAAGTTCTTCCTTGAAAATGCTTCAAACGGGTTCATGGTTAAGCTCAGGGACCAGGTAAGGCCTGGCTTAATCCCCATCTTTTAAACATATTTTATTGTTCAAAAGACAAAGGGATTGGGCACAAGTGCACCATTTATGGTCGCCATCTCCAATAACTAAATATCTGCATTCCGTGTTGGTCACTGTAGACAAAAATGTATTATAACTGCTTTAACGGTGATACTTTACATGCAATAATATGGGCGCATCATCCAGGGTAAAAATGATCTCCGCACAATTGCTGGTCATCTTAAGATGTGAGTGAGAGATGAGAGGCAAGAGTTAGCTACCCTCATACACCTAGGAAAAAGAACCCAGGCCCCGATTTCTCAAAACAAACTTAAGTTTGGACTTAGGAAGAATCTTAGTTTCTTTATGAATACCGCCACAGGCCCCGATTTCTCAAAACAAACTTAAGTCTGAGTTTTGACTTAAGTTAGAGCTTTTACTCAAATTTGAGAAATCGCAGGAAAATGCATTTCCCAGAATGAACTGAAATCGATATTAAACTCAAACTTAGGGACCGTTCATAATTGATGGCTAGGGGTGGTGGTGATGACCTTTATGGAGAAGCATGTACAATGTGAATGACAAACACCCCCCCCCCCTAAATTTTATGTACAAAATAAGTGACCCCCTAGCAAGTCATGTACAAAATCAATTACCCCCCCCTTCCCATAATTTCTAAGCATAATTTTAAACATTTTTATGTACAAAATTGCTGACACCCCCACCCCACCCCTCCCTTGTACGTGTGTACAAAATTGCTGACCCCTAGCTCCTCAGAACAAAATGGTGACACCCCTCCCCACCCTAAAATCATCATATCAACCCTCCATCCCGCACCCCTAGCCATCAATTATGAACAGTCCCTTAGTAGAAAATTTGAGTTTGGCGGATAGATTACTTAAGTTGTTTGGGCTTTTTTGTTTTAAAAATGCAGTTGAGGTAAAAATTCAGCTGTTTCAAATTCTCAAACTCAGTTTCAGTAAAGACTTAAGTTTGTTTGGAGAAATCGGGGCCAGGAGATTCACCAACTCCCTGGGCCAGAATATAGTGGAAAGGCCCATAGAGTTGTAGTACCCCGTAGTAGTTTCCAGAACTCTGTCTAAATATAGCATATCACCGCGTGATGGGACTGGAAAATCGTACAATTCAATCTTATGCATAAACCAGTTATTGTGGGAACCTTCCTATTGCAGACACTGCCTTACCCAAGCGAGGAAGATTTACAGCGCCATCTAGAGGAGCGCGTGATCTGGGATCACCACAAAAGGCAGACGGTATCTCGTGTACTCCGCGAGATTCACGCGAGAAGACCAGGGAGGTACTTCCAACATGTGGACAAAAACGCTGGTTTTACCTACTAGAGTAAATGAATTTACACCAAGATCAATAAAAGTATCTTGTACCTA